AGGGTTATGGTAGGACAAATGTTGCATTGCAAAGTAGTAACACATAATATATATTTTTTAATCATATATGGTTGAATCATATTCACCAGGGGCCAAAGCTGGTTGTTCAAAGCTGGGTTAGCTTAACCCTAGGTTAACCTAAAATTCAAAGCGAACTTCCTGACAGCTTGTCTATAAATTTTGGAAATATTTCTTCAGAGATCTTGTCTGGATGGATAGGAGTTTACTTGTCTGAAGTTTTGAAATAAACAGACGTGCAGAAATACACAAACTAAAACAACAGGTTAAACTTTTAACCCAGGGTTAGCGCTAACCCCCAGGGTAAAACATCATGAGCTAGATTGAACAGATTGTCCTAATATTTAACTTTACCTGCAATGCACACCTGTTTCATTGCTGTTAATTTTTCAATCTACACTGGGGGGGGGTCAGAAGTTTCTACTTTTATGAGGGGGGAGGCACAAAGTTTGCCTTCAGTCTGGAGGGGGGGGGACAAAAAGTTTTCAATCCTTATTTTCCCCATTTCCCAACTCCCCCCTCCCCATAAATAATGACCACTCCCTTATGGTATATCGTAATTTCTCTGTTTAGCACCCCCCACCCCTACTCCCCACCCCTTTCTCCTGCAACCAATTAATTAATGTATAAAATCGTGAAACATGAAAGTATTGTATTTGAAAGATAATTATGATATTTTACTGATAATCACAATACCCGATGTTGCATATATAAAGAGAATCAAACGTGCAAAACAGTTGTATATATTAGAATTAACCTCCCCTCCCCCCTTCTCCCCTAATAAATTGGATAGAGGAATTACGGTATGCATGTTCTAGAATATTTAGGATTGTGATATTATTTAAAGCCTGAAAAACAGATTCGCTTGCAAACGTTATGCAATTGCTGTAGTATAAAATAACATCATATTTTAAATAAGTTATTATTGTAATGTTGGCTTGGAAGTGTTCCTGGCGAGGGCTCGATACGGTACATTGCTCAGAATGTTTGGTAAACTCCATTAAAATGCACAGAACATAAAAATATCATATATTTTTAAAATATTCCGATGTCATCTTGTTTTACTTCAGCCCTGCTTTCGCACATTTCATAATTTTTTTCTTGTCCAGTCCTAGTTGAGATCAGTTTTTCTTATCTGCGCGTGCGCATTACGTGTTTTGTGCTCAAGCGCATGCGTATTTGCAACACAACAATGGCGGTTCATGGATTCCGAAACACGAGGAAGCGTGAACTTTGAAGAGCTTATACTTCAATTTGTGCAACTATTTCGCTTGGGGGGAAGTGGATTCTAACTAAGTAAGTTATAATCTATAGATTCATGTAAAAATTATGTAGTTACACGAGGGGTGCTACGGAATCTGTTTTCTAAGCATATTTTCGACCCTCATCTCACGGCCTAATAGTGCAAAACCACGTGTCCTACAGCTTTTGGATGAAATTGTGTCGATTGTTTTACACGATTACGAATATCACGAGGATAAAATACAACAAACTGTTTTGGATAATCTAGATGTGTGTTTGTCGCTTAGATTGACACAGTTTTTAAAGTGTGCAATACATTTGCAAAGAACTGTGCTCAACTTTTGCTGATGTAATTGTAAATGTGGTGGGTTTTCGAATGAACGCTATTGTCTGATACCCTATTCGTGTGTGGAAGTATTTGGGGACGCCCGTAGGTTCTGTAGCGATGCAGTGCTTTTTGGAACCCCGATGCTCGAAGGACAAGAAACTTCTTAGACTATTGAAAAAAATGAGTTGGACGCTGTAGGGGTACAATTTAATGTGCTATGACCGACTGTATAATGACGTGGACAAATGGTTGTATGAAACACAATGTGTAATAGATGAACCGAACCGTATAATAAGTATTTATACAACTTTAAAGGGGCAAAATAAAGATGTTTATGCCCATAGTTTAGCTTGTACTACTATAAAGTATGGGTATGATACGTGTGATGAGGGTATATATAAGCGGACGGTAGGTTACAATGTAGACTTTGAACATTGTGAACATGATGTTACAGTTTTTTTAGGGTTTCGTGATTTATATCGAAAAATAATTTTTATTATGAATGAATATATGTATATATCTAAAGACATTGACGATCGCGCTGTTGATAAAATTGTAGACATTTGTGAACGTGCACATAGTGTATTAATTTCGCCGCATTTAGTTTATAAAATACTGTTTTATTTGCAACGACTGAAGCGTGTAATTGTGAATATGGACGAGGCGTGTAATTGTTATAGTAGTAGTGTATGTACTTGTATTAGTAGAGAAAAGTTAGAAGAGTGGAACTAGTATTAAATTTTTTTATTGTATTGTGTGGCGTGTGTTGAGATGGATGCGTTTTTTCAACTTCAGCATTGTGAAATAAATGAGAAAGTGTTGAAAAATGTTCGAGATGCACGTAATGATTTAAAGTCGTGTATAACACACATTATAGACTGCGAAGCATACACATGGCGTAAAAAATTTTTTTACGCGAAGTTTCCGTATTGTGTAGATCAACAAATATTGTTACAACGTATCAGATTTACATTCCAAACACCAAATTGTTTGATGAAAATGATTGTGGGGTGCGTTACCAAATAAGGGTAATACACGGACTACCCATTGAAAGACGGTGTATTGACGATAATTTTTATTTGTATAGCGAAATGATTTGGTGGGTTACAAGGGTGGAAATATCGAACGTAATTTGTTAATATGCTAGGTGTTTCGTGTATTAATATGGAAATTTTGGGGTGTCCAAAGTATGAATGCTTATTGTTAAAATACGGTGTCAAGCGTGAGTGTTGTGGGTATCATATTACAGGTAAATATCATTGTAGCGGACACGAAGTGAAGTTATTTTCACAATTTTTAACCACGGTATGAGTTGTTTGGATGTACCATTAAATTTAAGAGCGTTGGGGGAATTACTTGAAAATTATTATTACGACCCAGTGTTATGGTCATTATATGCAACATGTAGATATTTGTATAACCAAAAACCGCAAGATTTGGGTACGAGAGAAATTCGTGTTCGAGATTACAGAGGTGCGTCTATTTATGAAGATAAAGAGAATGGTGTTAAATCCCAATCTTTATTGTGGTTAAAGGGTAATCTCGTGGGAGTGTGCGATGTGATATTATATGATAAAAATACACCAAATTTTTGCTTGATCGGGTTGGATTGTGAACAAGAAGAAGAACAAAATGATGATGACATCAATACAAACAAAATATTTTATATAATTCCTGTTGAGTGGTTGTACTATATTTATGTACGCTATGAAAACGATTCTTGGTGCATGTATTTGGCTGTGAAAAATTTTGTTGTAGACAAATTTTGGTGCGTGGGAGTATGATGGTTGTTCGACGTGAAAATGTTAGTATCAAATCCGAGTATGCTGTGGTGGATAACAGATATGTTCCCTTTGAAAATTATTTTCATATTGGTGTAGGCGAATGTTCAACAGACATTCACGATGTGTTTCTAGATGTGGGTATATTTGTAAATGGCAAACAATTATATGATAGTGTACGTTTGTATGCCCAGCCGTATGGTAAAGAGCGTGAGGTACTTTATGTTTTGTCAGTCCATGAAAAAATATTTAAATTTAATGATGAATTAATTACGGGTAAATTTTTAAAATTAATAATGAAACATTTGTTAGTGTGCCGACATTGTAATATGTATGTGGATACATTGGTTGAAATGATTTGTACGACATTAGTTAAACACGATCCCTTAGCAAACATGAATGAGCCCGATAGTGCAGATAAGGTTTTACCCAGTGGTGTGCCCTGTTTTTCATATATTTTGGACGGTGATTTTGTTGTTATGCGTCGAGATTCATATAATGCACCGTTAAAAACTTTGGGGCCATTACAATCGAAGAAAGACATAAATATTTGTAGGGATATTATTGAACCGTTTTTTTCAGCAACATTGGTAGTATTATCTATATAGGGGTATGGAATGTAGTAGTAGTGTTATATTACGTAGTAAATAAAGTCTAGAAAATTAAAAGCAATAAAAAACATTTTACATTTTTTAAAAGATGTCGTCGCGTCTATATCACTGCTGTTTAATAGTGTAAAATGGGATAGTTTGGAAACAGTATGAAAAGAAATAGGGATGACCTTTCTTAAATATTTACAATATGAGTTACAATTGTGCACAAAAATTGTTGGCATTGTTCAATTTGCTGACCATGTAAATATGAGAAAATTGCGAACGCCAATTGCTCGATGTTGAATTTCAGGCATCCTATCTAGAATGTGTACAACTTCCTATGGTTTTACCTCATTTACCTGATTTTGTGTGTGAAATAATGTAAAATTATATCATTAAATTCTGTACCCTCGTCTGCTTGTATTTTTTGGGGGGTCCGTTTTCAAGGATAATTTCTTCAAATTTAGCACAAACATTTTTGGCTGATTTTGTTTTTAGCATTTTTACAAAAGCGTAACGCGTTGCCACATCAACACACACAAGGATATAACGATATTGATTATTATAACCCGATAATTCATTTAAGTCTGCTAAATCAATACTCCATTGTTCATTTTTTTATATACATGAATTTTTAAACGTTTTATTTTATGTATTTTTTTTGCATGCAATGTATATAAGTTTTTTTGTTCCTTCGTTAATGTTTCGCCTTTTAATAATCTTGCAGCTTTTTCAATAAGTTCAACGTCATTACTTGTTTTTTTCACCATCACTATAAAATAAAAATTTACACTTTACTTTTATTTACACAATGGTAGTAATAGTTGACTACTTTTTCATTTGCCTTTACAAACCCTATGTAGTTATCATAATTATAGATTAATTTTAATTCGTCGTTGCGTCTCAAGACTGTTTCAACGGCTGAGTTCTCTGTGTCCATAAGTGTAATAATCGTTGCGATTATTCGTTTTTGCTAGAAAATAGTGGTTTATATTTGAACAAGTTGTTTCAAGGTGTTCGTGCACACACAAAAAATTCTCATGGGTAGGGACACAGTTCATACATTTCCTTACCAAATTGTGCAATTGTTTCTTCACAATCTTTCTTATACCTACACATATACATCATTATAATTTTTGTAGCGCGGTCTTGTGCAATTTTAAATTTTGGCCTCACCTCATTTTCACGCTCATTGTCCGGGGACAATACAACTTTGGTTTTCTTCTTCTTTGACGTCTCAGCACCACCTTTAGTCGCGTTATTCTTTCGCTTTTTTGGTGGATCCAACTGCTTTTGTTCAACAGGTGTTGTGGGTGTTGGTGTTGGGGGTATTACGTCAATGGCCGTCGAGTTAGAGGAATTTAAGGCATTATACGCATCACAACAGAAATCACGAATAATATTGGCTATTCTTTTCCAATCATAATTCTTATTGATATAAAATTTATCGAAAGATTCCGACCAACAATCACTCGCTGCAGGTGGGGTAACGTGCGTAGAAGGTTCTGGATCATCGATATCGTTGTCCTTGTTGGTTGGTGTGAAACTTTCAACCCGGCGTATTTGCTACTTTTCAAAATCGTGCGATATTCGTTACCATACGAATCTTTACTTTCGCCCAATTCAGCATAATTTGTTGCTTGGGCAGATTTTGACATTGTGGGTAGCACATCAGCCAACATGTCCATTTCCTCGTAAGACATATCGATACCCGAGTCGTAAATAAATGTGTCCCCCAGCCTGGGACATTCGACCCACTAACAGCCCGCATTTTTTACCCCATTGTTTTAATGAGACTATTTTTGTTTTACCGTTTTCATAACTACCAAGAACCTTTTCAATGGTGGTTCTTTCGCGTTTGTAAATTTTAATTTGTTGTGTTTCAGCCATGTTAATGCCCTTAGCTGCAGCGAGTTAATGATAAAAAACTCGAACATTTAATTAAATATAAGCCCCACTAAACACGTGATCGCAAGACCGGCTAAATTAATTAAATCGTCGCATTTATTTCGTTTGTCAAGCTCTGCAATAACACTTTGGGTAATCTTAGATACCTTGACCATATATGTAGATTTACGTTCAGATGTTGAAAAATACAACCGTTTTTTCTTAAATAACGTGTACGCTAACAATAATATGTACAATTGATGATAAAAACTTTTATAACAATAACTATCGTTGATAACAAGTATATACATTATATCCATAACGGGTACATCATCCCTTATAATGTTATTTACTTCAACCGCGTGTTTTTTTACAATATGATCAAGAATTACATATAATTGTTTTTCAATTAAACTACCAGCTTCCAAATGAACATTATGTCCGTACCAATAACAACATAGAAATTTCGAAGCTCTTTGTCGGTATTGAGCTAATTCTTTTTCATGCTGACGATGTACCCATATTTTTTGCATTTCCACATATTTCTCCATAATTTAAAATTTCACACATAACTGTCCAAAAGCGAACACACACGTATTCTGACACCGACACATAATTTCAAAAACTTAAATACACTTTTATGTAGATAATACCCCTCTTTTAAAAACGTCTCAATAATGTCTCTAAAACAAGTTTTCGTGTTGATCCGTTTTGAATATATCAATAGACGTCCAGCAAGCTTCTGCATTTCAAAGTCACCTGCACGTGCGTTAGTAACAACCCAACAGCGCCCCCTATGGGTTTCGTAGTATTTCATAGTTATATGTTTTATACCCAAAATACCAACAGTAGATATCGTTCGTAAATATATAGTAAAATAATTGTTTTTACACGCCAATTTAACAAATTTACGACATCTGTAAATTGTATCATCACATAAAATATCCATGGGTTTTGTATGCATCAAAAAATTGTCATAGTTGTACAAAATATGCATACGGGCATCCATAATAATCAAATTTCACCTTGTAGATTTCCTCAAACAACAGGTTGTGCAGCACGTTTAAAATAAAACTCGAGTATACTGTCCCATACAAAGCAATCATTTTAATTAATATATGTGCTTTATTGCGCTCGCTTTGACACGTTTGTAAAAAATCCTTCAAACTTTCAAAATGTGACGCGTATTCTGAGTTATACGAATAATAAATTTTTTTATTCCACAGATCCACAGCAATATAACATACCTCGTCATGAAGAAAAGTATCCTTGGCCAAATTTTTAATACGGTAATTAATTTTACCATACTTAAAATCCTGTTTTTCAAATATACAAACCACTTGTTTATTAGCTTTACCCAACGTATCGTTATAAAAACCACACGTCCCCAGATTTAAATATTTATGAAAATTCGATGCCATTTTTGCAATTTTTCAAGATTTGTCAAGCCACAATAAACACCCTTTTCACCCAAGTCCAATTGTAGCTTTTCAGTAATTAAATATGCTCCAAAATGTATATCATCAAATATATTTATCATAAACATTTGTAATTCCTCATTTGTAATTCCTCTAAATGGTTTAATAGACATATACTTATATTGCAAATAAGCGTAAATATCAAATGTATCATCACACCATCGCGCCGATACAATCACACCGTGCGGACCAATATTTTCCACATTTGTAATAACACACAGATGCTCGGGTGTATAAAAAGTATCTTTCAAAAATAAAACACTCATTCTATACCAAGATGGCGAAACAATTAGGAGGTACTTTTAAAGGTCGGCGACATCACCGCGGTCAAAAAACAAATGGGTGGGTTCTTACCCTTCTCGGGTTTAAGTCTTCTTACGAGTATGGGTAAAGGTGGTGGCGGCGGTGGTGGTCGTAGAAGAGCAATGGAAAGAAGAGAAATGAAAATAAGAGAAAGAGAATTAAGTTTAGAAAGAAGAAAACAGAAACAAAATCAAAAACGATATTACAATGATTACGATGATTACGATAATTATGATTATAATTATGACAGAAAACGTCGAAGACAAAGAGGTAATTTAATAGTTAATAATAATTAATATTTAACCTTTATAATGATACAAATAATTACTTCTTATAGGTGGTATTGTTGCCGGTGAGCGAGAGTTAGCACAACGACAATTGCGGGATAACATCACCTATAGTGCCTGGGCTAACAAAAAAAAAGGCAGTACAAAATGTTCGGGTAGAAAAAAACAGAATTTCTCACAATATCTGTTAATATTTTATTCATCTATTGTAAATTCGGGTGCTATAACAGCATCTGTACTAGCATCACAAAATAAATGCTTACATATCAACCTTAATCTACCGTATGTGTTTTTACTATCATATTTTAAAATTCCATAATGTCCATATTTCAATCGTTTAACTTTTATGGGTAAATATGCCCATGCACAATCTTCTAGTTCATCCATAAGCATTATTGTGTGCATATAGGTTAACGAATCTAGTTCGTGAAAGTATGTGCTGCAACCATCTTCACCTCGAGAACATTTATATATTTCACCATCACGTTCGCAAAATTTGTCACAAACACAACAAATTCTTGATAATAAAGCTTTTAATTGCGGTATAGAACGTTTATAATCACAACTTCCATCGCGACATATAAAAAATAACTGTAGTTCATTACATATCGAAAAATCGTCACAAAGTGCACCAACAAATTCCAAACTTGCTTTTAGTGCAATACCGCACGCACACGTTAACTTTCTATTCGTGTATGAGCTCAAGTATCATTGACATTCGTCCATAATACCCGTACATTCTTCAAAATATATATTATCTGCATCAATGTTAAACTGGCAACGCGAATCTGCACAAACATAACGAGGTGTTGACAAAATTTCACATGTCACAGCAACAGCATTTTCACACACACACACAAAATATTTTCACACACAATATCTGAAACACCGTCCCAATTTTTACATTTTTTACAATCGCAGGGTAATAACCCGCTAAAAATACCCGTAAATTGATGTTCCATCAATATTCACAATATTCGCCCTGCTCAGACCGCCACAACGTATCACGACGAAAACTTGTATCATCTACAACATCATCCTTTATAGCTCTTTTTCCAATTTCACTTCGCGACGGGTGCCAAATACTAAATATGTCTATACCCCAACGTTTTGTAGGATAATTTTTACATATCCAATCATCCCAAACTTGTAAACACGAAACGGGACTATAAAAACGCTGTATAACTGTAACATAATTAGTATCAGCAAATTCTTCATTTGAATATTTTATATTGTATGCTACAATATTTGCTGTTTCATAAAATACATCATCAAACACCAACTTTTGCGTCACATCAACCATTTCAGAAGAATCTGTAGAATAACACCACCAAAGTCTTTGTGCATAAACAGAGCCACCCTGATTTCTCTCATAATATGAATTTGGAATATAACTAATCGAAGCCATTTTACGAAAAATAAAACTCTAAGTACGACAAGCACATTAAATACAACGTGTTAAGCACAACATAGTCAATAAGCGCTGCTATCTCTTCCATAGTTATGCTAAAACTAACTTTAATACCCCGAAAAATAAAAAAAGACACTTTAAGCATCGCCATGATCCTCCTCTTTAATCTTCTGTATGTATTTCGTATTTTTTTAATATGTATTTGCATACCACCATCATGTATGATGGGTAAAGCCGGTGTTTCATAAATAATTACATTGACCTAAACTCTATAAATACAGAGTCTCAAAATTTTATTACAAAACACAAAAAATGAGTTGTAAATACTGCCCGGAAAAATTTGAGTGTCAATGTCCGACCAAATGTGAAAAATGCTACAATGCTGCAAAAATCTATTGTGACACAATTCAAACTTTACATGAAACCCGTTGTACACATATTTTACCCAAAAGAAAAGGTTTTGGCATTAATGATCAACTAAACAGTGATGTTGGGGTACCTACACTGGGGCAAAACAGCGAAGTTGGGGAACCTACACTGTCACGAAAATTGTACTGTGAAGTTGGGGAACCGCTAAAATCTAGAAGCCTTGAAACAAATAAACCAAGACTTGGTCAACCGCTAATCAGTGAAACACATATGACAGCAATAAAAGCACGTGAAAATAAATTTAAATCCAGAAATAAATGAATACTTTTATTGTTTTAGAAATATGAAATATGGTAATTATTGTTGTGATCAAAGTTTTCAATTAACTAATTAAACGTTTATATCTTTACACGACAGTACATTGTGGTTGGATGTTCAAATACGGTTCTGAATGTTCTTTACAGCAACCTGCTGATTTGTCTTCCTTTTTGACACCTGCACATTCGTCTTCCTTTTTGGTATCCTTTCTTCTCTTCTCAGCTACTTTTTTCATTTGTAATAAGCGTTCTTTATCACAGTAATGAGGATAATTAAATTTTTCACAGTTGTCCACCCAGACACCCACATCCTTGTCCTCCTCCTCCACAGTGGCAAAACCATGTTTATACAAAGTTACTTTAAGGTTTGGTGAGGAAGCCATGTCTATTTAATGCTGATCAGCTAAACAACAATACACTAACATTTATAGCACACCCTACACCCATATATGGAAAAAAAATTACTCATAATCATACGCTTTATACGTATCACACAATGCATATACAAAATCTAATAAATTATAAACATCCGTATACAAAAAAGTTTTTTTACATCGCGCCAAATCATAGTAAAATGTTGCGTCCTCACACATATTGTCATCGGGTTTAAAAACCATATCGCAACCAAATCGCTTAAGTATCTCTTCATAAGCCCCATTTATGATCAGACGTTTATCCATAAAATCTGTGTGTAAACACGTACACCATTTCTCATACGCATACACGCTTTTTGTATACTGCACATCACACTCGTTCAAATCCTCACGAATATACAACCAACAAAAATATGCTAGTACAACATTATATAAATCCTTTTGCTCCTCCACTGTACCCGACCATAAAGCGGGTTTGTTCGTTGTCACAACTTTCGTTTGTTCCCAATCGAACATTCTTGTTTTTTTTACTAAGATTTACATCGTCACCAGCAATTCTCATTCCCGTTATAAATAAGCTCTCAAACTCTGTAATTTGAACCGTCTTACTAAAGGTAAAATATTTCCAAAATTTTTGAACATACGTCTCATGACAAAAACCAACTAAAAAACAAACAGAATAATCTTGATTACCCAAAACACACATACACGCTAATTCCCACTCCTCATGCGTTATTTCAAATTGGCGCACTATTAAATCAGTACTATAAAACGTAATTGTAACAAACATATCCATATATGTCGATGGTATTTTTGTCAATTTTTTTATAAATTACGCACAAAAAACACCAAACCACAAGCGATCGCAAAAATGGCTTTTAAACATCATGATGCAGCTATTATACCCTTTAATGAGGGTAGTGTTGCACGTGCGATCTGTCAGTAATGCGTCTGTTGGAATATTGATCGTCACGTGATCTTGCGATCATCGAGGGTGTTCAAAGACGAGCTAGTAAATTTATCCTTCAGGATTATGAGTTGCCATATCCTGAACGCCTTAAAAAGCTTAATTTATTACCAATATCCTACTGGATGGAACTAAAGGATCGCGTCTTCTTTTTTAAATGTAAGCACGGTCTCTTCGACCTAGATATCTCCTCTTTCGTCACTTTTTCTTCAAACAGCTCGTCTCACACCCGTTCAAGTTCGGACAACTTGCTTCATGTTAATCATTGCAGGACTTCTCTCTTTAGGAACTCTTTTTTCAACCGAATTGTCTTTCTCTGGAATAATCTCTCTCCCACCATTCGTAATAGTTCATCCATTTCCTCCTTTAAAAACAGACTAACTGTTCATTACTCTTCTCTACTTCACTCATCTTTCGATGTAAACAGAATGCGCACTTGGAAAACCTTCTGTTCTAAGTGCCGCTCTTTCAACTTAAGCTGTTGTTCGTAATTGGTCATGTTTTCTGTAAATTTTATATTTGTTATCGTCTTTGATTTATGTTTGTTATAGTTTGTTTTCATTAAGGTTGGTCTTCATATGGGGCTATTCATGTCCTGTTGACCATACCTTCAACCATATTATGTAGTGTTTTAGTCTATTTTATGTATGGTTGTAAAGTTAATAAATAAATAAATAAATAAATAAATATTCGCCCCTTGTGCGAGTATTTTAGTGAATTCGGGCGTTTGCTTCAAATCAAAATATAGTATATATGAGCGACAGGATTATTTTGGAATATACAATGCAAAGAAGTTGGTATACTATTCAGTTTTGATGTAATAATTGGCTCTTTGTATAGCAATAAGTATTGTATCATTTGCGACAGCTGACCTTTGAACTGCTGATAAATAAAAGAGTCCTATAGTGCGCTATATCTTGCGATTATTCAGTATTAATTGTTGACTGTTTCTTATTTTCAATGAAAAATTGCTTGTGAATTACTAATTAATAGCACATATAGTTCGCTCGGTCTTTTCCACCATGGCATACTTCCCTTCAAGCATTAACTATGCTTCAAGAATCGGCTTGAATGCGCAATGAATGTTGTTATTGGAAATATAATATCCCTTATACAATAAGTGGCAGACTGTTTCATTATGGCGCGTGAAATTCATCACGCGAAAAACGCGTTCGACGAAATGTTGCTATTTTTGTTAGCTAAAAACTTTAATTTGACGAAATTTTGCTATTTTTGTTAGCTAAAAACATTAACAAGGGAACAAAGTTTCCTGCGTTAATTTGGAAACCGTACATTTATTTGTAGATAACATTTAATGACGCGATTAACATTCGTTTGATGGCGATCATCATAATATTGCCGGATAAAATAATGAAACGAAGCCTAAATGTAAACTTTCCGAATTTATTCAATAAACAGTGATATTATGTGTGAATGATTATCGCAATTCTGCGTCCTCTCAGTCACAAAATATACTGCTGCAGAGCCTCTGAATAAAAAGTATCATTTTTTGTGTTGTTTTTCGAAATATACATCACGTGATCGTTGCCATGGCCACGAAAAGTAGGTCAACTTTTAGAATCTCCTTTGATAAATCATATAAAACTTGAATGGTAATAATCAAGGCCATACTTATTTTTTTATGATTTTTTGTTTATTTTCGCTAAATACACAAACTGAGACCCAGGCATTAATGTACCCGAGACATTAGAAAATGGAACCCGGTGTCTTCAACAACATTGTTGACATACCGAAGATGAAGATGTTTGCGAGCTAAACGATGATGATGAGCACTTCAATACATGTTGTTGTCAGTTATGCCGTATGGAACAATATCATTCATTACGGGCAAAAACCGAAGAAATGCATCAAGAAAAGATGAAGAAAGCCGAAATGAAAGACCATGAAAGACCCGATACTGAAGAAATTATTGAAGCTTGTGGAGCTAGATGGTTAAAAAATCGACATGAACAATGTACTCACCAAACAACACTCGCAGACTTTTTTAAATAGCTCTTGCACGTCTTTTATCTTGTAACCTTTTTGGTCTTTTATCTGATACACTTTTTATACGGTGATAATAATAAATATTCACGTCTGTATCTGATTCTAAATCATGTCGTAAATCTTCAAATTTTTTTGAATCTTCTACTTCCATCGACAAAAATGTTGGCGCCGAACTACAACTTATCATTTGGGGCATTACATACCCCTCACTCGGTACGGCAACTAACCCTGTTGTACAACGCTTAATTTGCATCACTAACAACTTGTATAATTTTTTATCATGGTCAATATGTCTAGGGATTACACCCCTAACAACCAAATCATCAATAAGCGTTTTTAATTTCCAAGCATCTGGTTTATCGTTATTATTAAACTGGTCAAATAACCAATCTTTTACAACTTTCTCAAAAACTCTAGCCATCCTTCCTCAAATAAGATACTGCACAAATAAGAAATAAAAAATAACCCACCTCATTCTTTTATCGACTCATCAACAAACTCATAAATTTTTGTATAAAAAGCATCTGGTGTCTTTTAAAAGCATCTGGTGTCTTTTTTCCACATATAATATGTACAACATTTTCATTTTTTCAGGTTTTTCATAATCTTCTTGTTTAACATTCTCCAACAAGTTATCATACGCATATAAAACAGACAAATAATCTAAAATATCGGCAGCATAGAAAAATGTGTGATCGTCAAGCAATTTTCTACCCTCCACAACCCATATATCCTCGGGTAATAATTCGCCTTTATGCAAATCCAATTGTAGGATATACATTAATATATAGTGCAACAAATCCTCCTGAAGCAATTTATCCCCTTCACCACACCACGGTCGGGGTAAATAATCATATCCACCCTCAAAAATTATCTTCTCAAGAAGTTTAAAATTCTCACACATGTTGTTCCAAAAACAGTCTAACCCAAAATGATTTAACCCAAACTGTACGCGGGTATAACATTATTTTCCCGAGGAATTTTTCTTTTTTTAGTAGAATTCTTCGGAAAATGATGTTGTATCCATGTACTAACTTCATCTCCAGGACAACATCAAACTGTCCGGGAGATGCAGTTAGCACATGTAAACGTGCACAATGGATGGTTGGATCTTATGTGACGACACACTATACAAATGCGATAAAATAGCTGGACTGTACGTTGGAAAAACCAGATGGAAATTTTACAATTTATCTTAATACAATACATCGTGGAGAATTAAAAGCATGCGAACATTATATGCATCTTAAATGGAACAAAACTTCTTGGGGTCATTGGCTATACAGCACATCGTGCCACTATGAAACATGAATGGTTGCTTTCATACAAGAGTTTTATCTGTACATAAAGATGTTAAAACAAAATTTATTAACTAATAAATTTATAAATGTAAAAATGCATATTTATAAACATTTCGCATCAAAAGGATACCTATTGGACAAATCTATCTTCAAAATAGCTATTTACATACTTTGTCATAAAACATTTTTGGAACCCCGGATAGATGACTACACCGCTACTTATCTATGCTGTTAAGTAAATTTTGGTTTATCCAAGCAACAACAACAACTATTTTACTTGTTTTACTCAAGCGAGGATAAAAACAATTACTTACTACTTGTTTTAATCGTCGTTTTGGTCAAATTAGTTAAATTCGCTTTTACAGTTCTGAGGAAGGAGAATTCATTTGGAAATTCTCTTTCACAGATCTGAGAATGGAGAATTGTGAAGAATCAAGAAATGGTATTTGCGACGTCGAAAAGGAAAAAACTGAAAGACTGGCTTTAATATCCTTGTGGATTTTTACACAGGTGTATTGAAACCAATTTTTTTGTTTTTTTGTATGCAATTCTATGGACAACAAATCAATAATTGGTTCAGGGCTATATACCATCCAAAGTCTGCCAAACTCATTTTGTTTTCCACAATGAGAATTGATGGAATTGGATTGCTTGTGGTCTAATGGTCTTACCTTTGAATTTGCAGATTTTTTACCCTGTAAATTCAAAGGTTTGACCGTTTATTCCTGCTTTAAACAAAAGTGTGTATTAGAAGTATTTACATCTTAGGGTGAGAATCGAACTCACTTTGACTTAGGACTGCTAGCCTCTTCTCCCTAACCGGCAATCAGTTAAGTTACTAAGAATCGGCATCCTAACACGTTACCATTCCGCCACAATAGATGCCCGTACGGCTAACACACACATAGTACTAACTCTTTATTTCTGTATTTATACACCTTTCACATATACAGCACAATTATTACGGTCATAATGTTAATTTTAATATTGTCAATGTTACTTTTTGTGTTTCGTTTGCTTCTCCTCATCCTTGCGCATGCGTTGATACCCGTTTTGCATTTCGTCAAGTTCTTTTAACCCTTCGACCCATGCTTTTTCAAACCATTCATTATTATTATTCTCATCAAATGTAAATTCCTCATCTTCATCTTCAAACCATTCACATTCATCATTATATGCCAAACAGCAAGCGTCACCCTCGAACAACTCTTTCAATTTCTCCTTTCTTTCTACACATCTATTGCAAACACAATCTTTACCACACTCAGACATTTTAAATACAGCAGCAATAGGCTTTAGTTGTTTTGTTTGTACAAGAATGTGAAATTTATACTTATATGTCCAACTGATTACAACACACTGTTGATACATATGAATAATACACGTGCTTAATACACGTGATTAATATGTGTGACTGCTACACACTGTTAATACATGTAATTGATATGTTTACATCTTACGCGCATACTCTCTAAATATACTCGCAAAACTTTCAAAATAAACTATATCCACTAACTCGCACACTTGTCTATAACGTTTGTCCACAATTTTCATTTTAGAACCCGCATTCATTTCAAACAAATAATATTTCATCTTCAACAATTCGGGTATAGTTTTCTGGGTAAAAATTTCGTCCGGTTTTAAAACACCAAACGCGCCGACACATTTTAAAAATGTCTTGATCATTGAACCCCAACCCATTGCTATATCGTTAACAAAATTATCCTCCCATAATTTCAACGCACGCGCGTCTGTAACACCAGTATGGGTCGTGGGTAATCCCTCGTATACATGCTTCCATAAATAACGCGAAACTATATGTTCAAATAAATGTTGTTGTTGTTTTGCGTCGCCATTCCAATGATCCGGTTTTACCAATTTAAACTTTTTTACTTTTTCCAAGGCAAACACTTCAACTGATACACGCATATCCTTATCGACCATTTTTTGCCAAAAAATATTCTCGGCCATTTTCTCAGTCAAACACGCAAATTCTACTTTGTTTTATAAACCCAACATTCCATACCCATATTTGGGTATTACTGTTTACCTTAATATATTGCAGAAGTCCCTGTAATTACGATATCTACCAAAGATTACTCACTCACCGACGCACCAATCACCGCATGGTTAAATGGTCAATTGGTAAAAATCATTCCCGTATTTGGCGACAAAGCTGAAGAATTTTATGATTACGTGTGTGGTGCTCAACCGTATGGTATTGAAAAATGCAATGAAAAATTACAGGATTCTTGGATTTACCCTTCATGCAATTATTAAGACCAAATGGGTCATAACTACCCCCTTTCTGTTTTTTCCTTTTTCCTGTGGCCATACGCATTGTCCTTCTAAAATAATAAAATGTTCCACGACCACCCTTTTGCTTTTTTCGTGATTTTTTTTGCACCCTGTGGAAAAAAACCACCACCTTGTTGAATTCCCGAACCCTCCACTGTTCGTTTTTTCCACGGTATCACACACGATGTTGCGTGGGCAACACCGCCACTTGTAGCCTCAACCACAGCCACACGATTTATCATTATAACTACACCCCCACTATTACAACCCTTTTGTAGTACAACTTGGATATAAAAACGTGCAAAATATACTATTTAACCAACACAATTTTTTTATACTCTTCTATAATAGTATTAAAAACGTTACAGTGCGTAGCCACATATAGATAGTTTATAAAATCATCCAATATAGCATCAACAACACTTGTCCCCAGACGTTCGGATGTATATAAAAAAGTGACATATCAAGTTTATTTTTTTCCAACGGTCCAATCATCTCGTCCCAATATTTCCACGACAATATTTTTCCACCCAATCTTTGTTTAAATATTAAAAAAGCGGGAGATTTTCGTAGGATATTGAAATTTTCTAGTCGTTTTGTTTCGAAGTTATTTATTTCCACCCAATTAATCGCGTCCATTTTTATTTACATATACACGTATCAAATTCGTTAGTAATTTGACACATCCAGCAGGTATGTTGCCTGTGTTGTTGTTGTTCTCGTTTTCGTTGCTGTTCTATCTTTTTGTCTAAATCGGCAATTATTGTGCAGCACACACATGAACAATTACACAAACATGTTAACCCGTAATATTCCTCCTCACAATTACACATACATTTTTGCAAGTTATTTGCCATGAGCGAAGTGATGAATTTTGAATTTGGCTGTGTTATTTACACATTGTACATAATTAAACAACCTTTTACTTTCTTCTTTTTATTATAATTTGACGTGCACAAAGCATTAATATCGACATCACCACCCTTTTGCTTTGCCCTTACTAATTTTACCTGTGTCCCTTTTTTTAACCTTACAACACCTTTTTGTTTCTTATGACACCTTTTTGTCATGCTGCGACCCATAATTATGAACATAATTATATTACAAACCCTCTATATGTGAAAATCCAAATTTTTTGGAAAAAACGGATTCATACTCCATTTTCCAGTCCAAAATGTCATGAGTCCAGGTTTATGAATCCGGTTTTTTTACATCTGTCAATCAATGTATAAGAGCTTGATACGTCCAATTATGGAGTATGGGGATCTTATATGGGATAATTGTACTGTTAGTAATAGCGACCTGCTTGAAAGTGTCCAGTATGAGTCTGCCAAAGTCGTTACGGGGGCCATAGCAGGTACTAGTTCAAAAAGTCTTCATGAGGAACTTGCTTGGGAGGAGTTGAGCATCAGAAGAAAAATTAATAAATTATCTCATTTCTACAAGATAGTTAATAAATCTACTGCTCCGTACCTAGTAGATCTCTTACCGATTCTGGTGAATGAAAGATCTTATATTTCTTTACGAACTGGCCAAAATATTAGTGAGTATAGATGTAGAACTGAAAAATTCAAAAAGTCTTATTTTCCTTCCACAATTTCTTTATGGAAATCTATTGATCTTGATGTGAGAAACTCAATCTCCCATGCTATTTTTAAATCTAAAATAGTTAATCATTTTCATCCATTTAATTATGATAAATGGTTTAACCTTTCACTTACGAGAAGAGCTTCTGTCTTACATACAAGACTAAGATTGGGTTGCTGTGCCTTGAATGATTATTTATATAGTATTAATTGTTGTAAATCTCCTTTATGTGCATGTGGTGTAGAAAGTGAATCTGTAAAACATTATCTATAATCATGTCCCCATTTTGCTGCTCAACGTATCAAACTTCTTACCTCAGCTGCACAAGTTCTTGGTCAATCATGGCTATTGAGTGGTGACAATGAGAAAGTTAAGTGTATGTTGAAAGGATCTATCCAGTTGAATTATGAAGAAAATTGTATGTTATTTGGTATAGTTCAACGGTATATTCTGGATACTTTTCGTTTCTCCTAGCCATTATGACTCAAATGTGTCTGTCTTCCTCTTTGTTATTGGTTGTATCTTTTGTGTTTGTATTTTTGTAAACATTCTTTTTTTATATAAAAACATTTATGTAAATAAATTAAATGTGAGCCTCCTTGATAAGCCTCGGCTTTTGAGGCAAACATGTTATTAATAAAGTTTATATAAAAAAAAGATACATACTAAGGTCTGGACTCTATATATATATATATATATATAGATATATATATAGATAGATATAGATAGATATATATATATAGATATATATAGATATAGATATATAGATATATATATATAGATATATAGATATATAGATATATATATATATCTCTCTCTCTCATATATATATATATATATATATATATATATATATATATATATATATATATATATATATATATATATATATTCTCTATCGCTCTCTCTCTCTCTCTCTCTCTCTATATATATATATATATATATATACAGGGTGTATAAAAAAAAGCGCAATCCTCGACTGAAATGTAAATTGCTAAACAAATAATAGACGAAAACGTTAAAGTTTACATTCATTTTAAAGCGTAGCCATTCCGCTTTCTAACAGTGGGTTGTTTCTTAAATTTGACTCATTGGTTCGCGGGTAATAATACTTTACGTTATTGCGATTGGAGATTAAAAAAATTGAGATGGAATAACTAAACGTTCTCATGAAAATAACTGATTTTTTCATTAAAACAAAAAAATGTTGCATTTTATTAAATGGATTGTAACAATAAGTATAATTACGGCTTTTCTTCCACTATTTTTAACTCAGTTTGAAACTTCAAATGCGATATAATTTTGGCTTGGACCATCTAAGCTGACTGACATCAACTTGCTATAATTTCTGTTTACATTACATCGCAATTCGATGACACTCTGGCTCAGACACCAGAATGTTTTGACGATTTTTAGCATTCGTTTAGGATTTTCAAACAACCTGGTCTCTTTTAAAATACTTTTAATTTGTTCTTATACGTGGTTTTCCAGATGTAGTGACGACAACATTAAAGTTTAAAGAAGAAAATTCTAACATTTAAACCGACTAAACAATAACATAGTAAACTTGCATAATTAAACAGCAACTAAAAATGATAGGTTTTACTAAATCTTTTCCTGTGCAATTATTACTAGCATTGGAGACAAGGATAATAGTTTGTTTGAAAGAGAAAAGAGCAGGCTTTGAAGTAAGCCTAAAAGCGTTTAACTAGAAATAGTATTTCGAAAGTTATTAAGCACAAAAGATGAATTGCGTTTATTTTGATACACCCTGTATATATATATATATATCTATATATGTATATATATCTATATATCTATATATCTATATATCTATCTATCTATCTATCTATCTATCTATCTATCTATCTATCTATCTATCTATCTATCTATCTATCTATCTATCTATCTCTCTATCTCTCTATCTCTCTATCTCTCTATCTCTCTATATCTCTATATCTCTATATATATATATATATATATATATATATATATATATATATATATATATATATATATATATATATATATATATATATATATATATATATATATATATATATATATATATATATATATATATATATATATATATATATATATATCTATATATATCTATATATATATATATATATATATATCTATATCAAGAGCCAGCCCCAAAAAATCTTCATTTATAAATATCAAGAAATCATAAATCTTCAAAGTAAATAAATAATATTTTTACGTTTCGCTACATCATCTCCGTCTCTTGCTTAATATATATATATATATATATATATATATATATATTATACATATATATATATATATATACATATATATATATATATATATATATATATATATATATATATATATATATATATATATATATATATATATATATATATATACTAATTATAATCTTAAAATTTTATTAATCGCTACACAGTGTTTCACGCTTTCAAAGCGATCTTCAGGCGATACTACTCTAAATAGTTTGCTTGCGCCATTCGTTCAACGGTCCGCTGACGCGATTGCATCATGCGCGCGTGCGTTTAAAATTCCGCGCGCTAAATGAGTTTCTGTGGCGGCACTTTGAAAATAGTTCTGTTCGTTTGTTCAACGTCCTATCTTTGTGAGATTTAATTATGTAAAACTTCTCCTCTAAGCAAAGGTTGCAAGAATTTGCACCTGCTGTATAGGCTGATGCATGCGACAAAACCGACCACTTTATAGTATACGGTCGGTTACTTTGTTTTAGCTTCCATGCGTACTTAGAAAGTTCGGTTTCGTTTGAATAGCGGGGTGAGTTGATGGATTTCTTGTGGTTGGCGTATCTTGCTTTAAACCTCCCTGCTGTCATACCAATATACTCTTTCGTTTCACCGACGTCTGTTGTTGTAATCTCAGCCTTATATACGATGCTTTTCGTAAGACAATTACCATCGAGAGGGCATTCGTCCTTGTTGCGGCAATTACATCCATCGAAAGATTTGTTCTTTCTTACCAGTAGATGTCGATTGTGGTTGGATATAGTGTTCTTAATGTTGGTCATGCAGGAATAACTCACTTTCACAGTGTTCCAGTTAAAGATTTTATGG